ACCAAACCCTGTCACAGCGCCTGCATCACTCACTGAAATCCAAGAGCTCATCCTCTGCGTCAGGTGACCGTCCAACTTGTCCAAAAAGACATGACCAGGTGCTCTGGCTGATAAACAGAAACTCCCAGGGCATACAGACACAGAAGGTGTGTATATGTATGTATGCACACACACAGAGATATCTAGGCTGGCCCAGAGGAAGGAGGCAGACAGTCACAAAGGCCAGCCACCTGAGAGCGCTCTTTTCACTGTCACCAAGAGGACAATGACAGCTCTCCATCAGCACACTCCCTCCCACCCCTTCCACAGTGCACACTCATAGCTTTTAAGCCTAAAAATGTTTTCTCTGACTCTGTTGCTCTCAAGCAGCAAAACAACAGGGGCTGCAAGTGGCAGTGAAGAGGCTGGAGTCAGCACGCATTCCAGATTTCCAAAGGGTATCACACTGAAGTCATTGTCTGTGAGAACGGGCTGGCCAGGCAGGTAAAATTCTTTGTTCAGTTTTCCCCCATCATTAAAAGCTTCCCATCACTTCTTTAAATACAGTTTAAACCTAGTGGATGACAGACTAGTCTGCAAAAGCAAGTCACACTGTGATTACTTCCCTAACACACAGGGAAAACAAGAGAGGTCAGCTCAAAGGAGGAGTAACATGCAGCACACAGTCCGTCAAGTTCAAGAAACTCCGGATCTGCTCTTCAGGACCAGCACCCTCTTAGAGCTGGCTATAAATAGTAAGCCAGGATGTGAGTACACGTGAATGAGGAGAATGGAGCCTAGACAGAGAGCAGAGTTAATTATCTCTGAATTCAGTCTAGAATAGTAATTTCTCTAAAACAACAAGGAAAACTGATACAATTTGAGTGTCTCTTAAGGAAAGAGGGAAGGGGGTTACATAGATTATTAATCCTCCCTTGTAATGAAACTCATTTGCAGAACTCATGCCCCAGAGGAGAGAACAGGTCTAAAAGTGACTGACAATTTAAAGCTACAAAATCATGTTTGCAATTTAAATTACTGAAAGAGGGACAGAACTGGGAGGTTGTATGCTTGGTTGTGAGTGGGAAGGTAGGCTTTTAGTTTGTTTTCAAATGTGAGAGACTGGAGGCATGGAAGATGCACAGGCAGGACTACCATGCAGAGGGATGAAGGCATGCTGGCCTGGCTTCCAGTGGCCATGGCACATGCTATGCAGCCAAGTAAGTGGGCTAAGCATGGATTTCACAGACACAGAACACAGCAACACTGAGGAGAGGCAGAGCACATCCCCCTTTGTCCAACAGCAGTGTCATCTGTCAGCATGCACCACTCCTCTTTAAAGCCCAACAGAACTACAGCAATTGTGGAAAAAATTGCCCAAATATTTAGTAGCAACACATCAAGGGAGATGAACACATGCCACGACACTACAAACACGCACCTCCACAAACTGCACCATTCTAAACCAGCATGACGAATGGGCTCGCAAGAGCAGGCCTACACAGCAAAATTCACTTCCAAATCCATTTCCAGTTCAGAGCCCTCTGCAACACATACCTTTGGCTTTTTTTCCACCAAAACAACCAGCATCATCTTTCTTCTTCTTCTGAGAGCCTCCTGTACCTGCAGTCTGACCGGCATCTAGTTCCTGGTACTTATCAGCTCCAGGCACCTCTTTGTGGACGTGATAAGAAAGGTTCCGCATGATGCACACGCAGTTCTCTACAGACTGTTACAGAAAAATCTATGTTAGAACAAGTACTGCACCCTCTGATTTGCAAACCATTATATTATACAATGGAGGGTTTGGGGGGATTTAATAAAAACAACACCTGCCCTAGGAAAAGAATATAGCTTTTGAGTTAGTCAAGACTCCTTAAATTAATGTTTGTTCTTGTCCTAAACCCAATTTTATTCTTCCAGAAGTGAAGCACTTCATAAATGGTACCAATCCAAAATGAAAACTCCCTAATCAAAAATACCACCTGATCCTACATAAAGAATACAATTCACCTGAAGATCAAACACACAATGGAGAATGATCCTATAAGGCTCCTACTTTAATACAAGCCTCTCTCTCATTCTTCCAGCCTTTACAGGCCCCAAAAGGCCCATTTTGTTAAGTTTTCCCTGGGTCAGAACCTAGGCCTTGATTTCAACGAGAACACATGTTGCCCTATAGTAACGGCTAATCCATCGCACATCAGGTTCTAACAAGGGCAACGCTCTGTAGGTTGCAATGGAAACCACCAGGCAGTTACAAAATCTACTTCCAAAATTATCTGATTAAGTGACAGGGCTTTGTAATTCCCTTGCGTAGTCCATCACATGGTGAGATTCAAAAATAATAAAATAACAATGCTTTACAGTTCTTACTGGTGTTATTAAGCAATAGTATGTTCTTTCTTCTTTTAAAGAGGTTAAACTTATGATAGTTCCTATGCATACAAATACACTTTTAAGTGCCACAGGATGAGATGATGACAAAACCAGAGTAATTAAAATCTGCACCTTCAAAAAACAAAGCCACAATGAATGTACTGCAGGTCTGCAGACATATCTTAATGGCTAAGCACTACAGCCTTTAGAGATGGTGCTGAATAAACCCTTTAAAATGGGAACTCCTTTGCCGGTACTGTGCAAAGCACATCACAATGGGTCTCAATTCTGGTTTGGAGAGTGCACTTATAAATAACAATTAAGTAATGCAGAACAATAGCAATAATGTCACCGACAATAATATAGGACTACTCTCCCCACCTATCACGACCACTTGCCTTTGCTCACCTCATCAGCCATGAAAGGCAACACAGCAGCATCATGCTGATACCCCACAGACACCATGACAGAGATGAGAGGAAGATAATTACTGCATTTTCTGAGGCAAGCATAAGCCTCTTCTGATACCAGCAAACAGAAGTCAGATCCCAGTGCAACACTTCAGCCTAAGTTAATGGAAACACCCATTAAGTGTTAATACTCAAGTTCACCTTATTGTCTGTATCCTTCTTGCCAACTGCAGACTGGAGAGCATGAAGGAGGGCATCCACCAAGCCATCGCACTCTCTTAGTCTTCTGCGAGCTTCTGCTCCATCTGAACTTACATTCCTAACAGGAGAGAGTTAAAAGAAAATTTAGCCCTCTAACCTTCACCATAAAGTTGAAAGTGCATCGATTTATACTACAATTACTAAGAACTCATTACCCTGGATGAACAATTTGGAGGCAAAGTAGTCTGACAAACCGATTAAATCTCAATAAAATACGGGCAACGCACACTTGCAATTCTCCATATCTTAAGGAAAAGGGGAACACAGTCACGGGATGCCTACAAACCCACTTCTCCGAGTTGCTGGTGAGTCCAGTGATACATGTTAAACTGGACCGTTTTCAAAGTAAACAACACGCAAACCAGAAGATTAATTTCAAAGCTGTAACTTTTCATTTGAAAAACACTTTCACCACCTTAAGAAAAACATACAAAAATCACAAGACTGCTCAGCAGTATTCATGGCCACAAAACTGAAAAATGGAAAAGATTAAAACCAGGTGTACAATAAGCTGTATTTTACTTAATCAATCTGTATTCAGAACTGCTCTTCAGTTTCTTTTGGCCCCATCTGCTCCGAAGAAGTCAGATGGGAGTCACCACGTGCAACTGCTGTCTCCCTGACTGCTCAGAGGTTCTCCGAAAGTGTTCTGTACCCCCAGCTTTCTGACTGGAAGCGACTGCCACCCAGTTTAAATCCCACGTTTTGACATGTAAAGCCCACCTGTCACGCTGTGTACAGCGGTTTCAGCACAAACTCTGGATCAGCCACATTTATTAAGTGAAAAACATCAGTATGTTTATATGGCATTAAACATCTCAAAATATCGCACAAGAGAATGGCCAAGGTAGAGCAGGTGAGACAGGGCAGTGAAAGGTTACTCAGCGTTGTTAAAGTTGCATGTAAGTGACGGCAGGAATTGTCAGAGGAGAGCTATGGACTCAGCCTCACTTCTCCAGCAAGCACGCCCAGCACCTACTGAAGCCCCAGCCTTGCATAAGCATCAACCTGTCATTACCGAGCAAATCGATCCACATCTGTTTTGCTTTTCTTTTTTTGGGGCTGAGGGGGAATAAATTGAAAAAAATTATTCTTAACAGTGCTTGCTGGCAAAACCTATGCAGAAAGTCTTCTCTGAGCTGAACTGCACTAATTTCGACACCACCACAGCCTACATTTCAGCTTTCAGGGTCTTGGCATTCCACAAACCCTGTCAGGTTAGCTCTCAAAAGCTCAGGACACAATCATTACCTTCTGCTATCAGGATCATGCAGCCAATTTTTCTTTTTCACTAACTAGAGGGACTGCCAATCTCCAAGTAATTAACAAATCAATCACGGTCCCCCTGCCATGTCTCCCCATCACCCAGGCAGGCCGGTATGCTAATTGCATGACTAGGAAAAAACACATTTTCTCAGAGACCTCTCGAAGTCTGAAGACACTTAATTGTGAGCTGGTTGCTGTAACAGCACATTAACTTTCAATTAAGAACCCAAATGTAATGCACAGATAAATGAATCCTTTCCCCAAATCCTAACACACAGCCTCACCTCTAGCAATGGTTGATACAAGGCAGGTAAAGTGGATATTAAAATATGATTCCACAGGATATATGGAAGAGAGAATTCTACATGCTGTTCTTCCATCTCCAGTTGGACTAATCCTTTCATATGAAAAGCCCAAATGTGAATTTTAATGTAAAATCTTTATGAAACTGAAATTAGAATTTGCATTCTGTGATACCTTTCAGGAGTTATAACAATAAATGATAGCAGTTCCACCTCCAAGCACATCTATTAAAGTGGAATGTTACTTATTAGGCTTGAGGCTGACAGAAATACACTAAAAATGGTTTTATCCGGAGCTGTGTATCACACCTCTTATTCCCTCATTAAGTCTTAAAAATAGAGAGCTAAAATACATAAGGAACACTTGCAGACTTGAATAAATAAATCACATTTTGCAAAACAAAAAAATCCTTCACACCTTTCTTTCTCTGTGGCCCGTTTACAAGGGATTTTTCTAGGATTCATCTGTGCTACCACACTTGTAGCACATGTGGGTCCTGCTTTGGTTATCAACAGCATCACAGTATTTGGTACCCTGCTTTCTTAGTTCTTGATCTGTATTAGGATTCATATTAAGGTAAACACTGATAAGGTTCTAACTGAGAAAGATACAATAAAAGTGCATCAGTAAGTGTGGCTTGCTGGTATCTTCAGCTATAGAAAAAATTACTGAAAATCAGTGCCACAAGAAAAAATTCCCACATCCATCACATAAATAAGCATGAAAATTCTGCAGGATCAAATTAATAGCTAATTAATGATATGAGTAAGTTATCCAGGCATCAAACTTTGCAGTTCTATTGTCGTAACTAACATCACAAAATGCATCCTTATGAGTATCTCATGCAGAAACATCTGCTCTATAAATACCAACACCCCTGGGATTCCACTAGTCCTCCCTCCTTGGGTAATGAGATTCCTGCAGCCCATGGGATTTATCCAACATGGAAAACCAAAACCCATTTCCTCGTCTGTAACTCTAACCCTGACCTACTGCAGAGCTCAGCTCACATACTTCACATAAGCCTAGATCAAGAGAGACCTCAGAAACACTAAGCCCAGGGAGATCAGCATCTGCCTCACAGCGTCTGCTCCTACACTGCAAGAGGCACGAAGATCTCCCAGCTCCCATGGGAATATCTGCATTCCAGATACACAAGTACGCGGAACATCCCAAAGCACTAAACAACGGCAAGCATGGTGAAAATGAAGCCAGTGTGCTTTGAATAAGTTCTCATGTGGCAGTCCCAGAAGAGGTGCTCCCAGGGTTGGTTTCCATGACCCAGAGAAACCTTCAAAAGTTCCTGCAACCCAGATGAATGCCAGGTTACATTTCTGCCTTGGGGTGTTAGGACCCGACACCATCTACCTCTGAAACACACCACCTAATAGTCACCAGTCACAGTCACATCTTGGGTCTTCAGAAGGGACTGTAACATGGAGACCAAAGTGATTCCATGGACAAAAGTGCCAGTGCTTGGTCATTACAAAGGACAGAAGCTGCAATGGAACAGGCAACCCAATAACGCGCTCCACTGACTGGAGTCAGGAAAAATCTCTTCCAGTTACACAGCTGCACTAGTTTTTGATGCATCTTATGGATCTACCACAGGTTATGGAATGAAAGACACAAGTAATCATGTACCAAAGGGAACATTCAAAGCGAGGTTTCTAAACACCCTTCTCTCAAGAGTGATGAAAATCAAAAAATGGGCAACAGATTCCAGCATACATTAACAGAGGATTTGCAAAGCCTCACCCAGGGAGAACCTCCCAGAACTCATGCAACACACAGATATGCAACATATGGCATCCAGACTTGGATGCAGTTTTGCTTTTCACTGAACTTTTCTACACATCAAGCCCACATAGCTTTCTATCAGCAGAAAATTTATTCTTCAGTGGATGGAGTGTTTGGTACGAGACAACAAACAGAAAAGGAAGCCAAAACCCTAGTCGAAGTGCTTGCTAACTGTTACGTAGGAGCTAGGCTGCCATGCAGCGACTGGAACGGCCCAAAGATTTTGGAATTAAACACACAATCTCAATGACTTGCTTGCAGGCGCAGTTTAATATCAAGAATCTCTATAGATGAAGTCAAAGATACTTTTGAAGTTTGAACAACTTGAAATGGGAACTCTGCAGGGCTTTTGTGGCACTGATGATAGGCAAAATCCTATTATAAATGAAAACAAAGTCAAAAACATTTGACTGCTCAAATGGGTGAGAATGGGAGGAGGACCTACCCAAACTACTTCTACAGAAAACAGAATGAATGATACTTGCCATTCATCTCTGGTGTTCTGTACAGCCTGCTTCCATCGCCTTGTCTCTTCATCCCTAGAAAGGCCTTTGCTGCCTTCCCTGACTTTCCCTGCTTTTCAGTACTTTGCCAAGAGCCCATTAAATGAAGTATTTTAAAAACAGTATCATCTTTCTCAAACGACCCTGCAAAGGGTAACAGAAAGCTTCACAGTGTGCTTACTGTAAACACATACAACACACTCAAAAGAGTGATTCTAGAAGAATGACATGGAAATACTGTCCATGTTACTCAAAGTACACAGGCAGGAAACCAACTGTATGACTGATTTTATGTAAAACAGTAAAGCACAAATCTCATTTCAGAGATTTTAAATCCCCAGACTTTATAGCTGGAAAAAGCGACCTGGATTCTTCCTCAAATTCTTGGAGTCCAGACTGTAGACAGGACTAGTGAAAGAGGATTTGTAAGGATGTTCAAATATATGCTTTCCCTGGGAAAACAAAACAGAGGATCACTAAGTAAATGTTAAATAAAAGTAAATACCTACCAGCGTAGAAACACATCAGGCTAGGAATCCAGTCTGTTGGTATTAAAGACTACAGAAAATGGCGGGGAACGTGCTGAGAAATCTGTTCATGCTTTAGATAAGGTTATCATGATCACCAAAGAGTCGTCTTAATAATATGCAAGTCTGTCTGCAACATTTACCTCTGCAGAACAGAACTGGTATTCGTCACCTAGGAAAGGGGAGCCGTTACTACTCTCTGTGCCACACACCAAAACTGTCCTCAAGAGAAAAGATTCTAAAGTAACTAAAGGCATGGCACTTAATTTACGCTATTTCAGTGCAAATCATGTAGCAATGCCCACACGCACCTCCCTACCAATCCGAAAGGGTGGAGACACAGAGAGCTTTTGGGTTTGGTTTTTAATAATAAACTTGAAAAAAAGAAGTGTCAGAGGCATTTTTCTCTGAGCATTAAACTATTGCTGTGTCTGCCACCTGGCTGGAAAGGGCCATCAGCTGTTATCCCGCAGTGCTGCAGCTGAAAGCCAGAGGTTAGAGTATTACCCAACACCTACCATCCCACGTCAGTTCCGCAGGCGTAAAAAGCAGTTTGTTTAGAGACCCAGCTGGGGACAAAGACAACAGGTTGGGAACTTTGTTTTTGATATAAATAGAAAGCTGGACTGGAAATTCTAAAGATATCCTCCTAGTAACAT